ATAGCTACCGGCAAGCAATGCTGGCGAATTACTTTGTCGAAAACGGTTTAGCTGTATCCCCCCTATCATAATATTGCTGCCAGCAGGGAGATGTTCAATCATACGGTATGAAATCCAAAGATTCCGGTATTCTCGAAAACTTCATTCGAAGCTAGAAAATGCACGATCACTTAATGAAAAGCTGGCATCATGCTGGTTAAAGGCTCACATGCAGACGGCGAGATTTAGCTTGCTGGCTCGTGCACACATATAGATCTCACCGATCGGTATGTCTTTTCTCTTTTGAAAAGGCCGACCAAGGAGTTTCGTGTATATCGTACAGTAATCGTTACTTGAGATCCTCATGATGAGGCATCATCACACGCTGAGTGTCATGTAAGTCATCTCTGTAACACTGCAAGCATTAGAAATAGGCAAAGCGGTGCAGGTGAGCAGCCTCTCGCTTTGATTTAGCGGCGCCAATGCCCTCAGATTTCGACTTCTTAACGCTTTCAAACCGCAACACATACTGTAACTTATCCATATGCGTACGGATTGCGTCACTAATCAGCGAAGTCGCCATCACAAGATGCGAGACTTATAGCTGAGGTGACGTGAAAGCCCACCTGTCAGTATTGTAAGCCAGCCCGGCCTAATTTTCATCTCATAACATGCTAGGCGAAAAAAATACCATCCTGCTATTACTACAAGAGATGTGGCGACGACGTCGCTGTGCACAGCGACGCAAGTTCGGTAAGGGTCACAAAGGGCTTAGAGCCAAGCAGATGCAGCCTGAACTCGACGGCGGGAAACTTCATAGAACGTAGATCTTTATCAAAAGCAGGGCGATTGATCAACAGCACCTTTTGCCTAGTGAGACTCAAAAGCGACCACGCCTTCGTGTCGATCAATAACTGCTATGAACAGAGCGCAGTATATTGCAAAGGCTGAAGCGTAACGGAGGCCGTAGAATGGACTTTCAGATCTGGAAGGACCAGAATCGGAACACGCTTGGGGCTTTCCTTTACAACTATGAAAACCTCTCCCTGTGCCGCACCCCAATACCATCAAGCACTCTATTAAGAAATTAAGTGAAGTGTCGAGCCATGTCGGCGTCCATTGCGCTGTAATTATGCAAGTAGTTGGCAATACAGAGTCACTCCTTCAAGTACGTTTGGGACAGGGGCATGGACCGACCTTAAATCACGTCTATCTTGGCGAAATTCACCCACAGAATCTGCAATCCAATGGGGTACCCCGGAAAGGAGATTTAGACGGTGCAAATAATTCACTTGTCTATGGTTTATTTAAATGTAGACATTCGAGCAGTGCTCACAAAGGCTAAATAAGGATCTCCACCTCTGACTTATCAACTTTTGCACGCATATGGGAGAATTTTGCTTATTCGCACTTGTGTTTAGACACGATGTGGCCTGCACAATTACGTCGCCAGACTATTGAACGTAGCTGGTGCATCAGGCTGTCCCTGGGCAGAACCAGCATATATCCCGCCTCGATCTACTCACCGCAGTAGGATAGATATCGCTGTTGCTCATCAGCAATTGTTTGAAGTCATAAGACAGCGAAAAAAAGGCAGTTGACCATGCTGTTCGACGACACGTCCTTTCTTACGGCGTTTGGGTCGAAATTGCAGCAGTTTATGGCTAATTATTATAAGTATACATAGTTTTCCCCTGCCATTAGCGTTTCTGACATAGAAATCTGCGTCAAGTGGGGGATCTAGATGTACCATTTTGGTGACCTAGTTGTTACCTCGGCGTTTGCATCGAAATTTGCACTTTGCAGTGCCAAGCGTGATACGCGTTCTAGGAGGACATTTGCTATGCCAAAGCTGGCTTGTAAAGCCTTAAGACGGGTGAGGCGGTGAGCTCCCCTAACCTGGTGAGCAACTAGAGTCTGATACTCAGTAGTACTTTACCAGCTTCTTAGACCCAATGTACATTCTTCATAGAGAAGATGGCTTTTTAGCCACTGCTGCTTTCAGCGCAGACAATTCCTGTGTGCGTGGTGACCTGTGGGCGAAGAAAGTGCTCGCCGAGTGACTTTATGGTGCTTTTTTTCTCTGTGCGATCAGATGCCTCCAGCTGACCAGCTCCGCTTTGTGCACGGATGAAAGCGTCAATGTCGTCATACTGTTCCAATTTACACTGTTCCAATTTCACACTGTTCCCATTACAAGGGGCACTATTGGTGACGCAATTTTTAGTTCAGAATCTCAAATCCAATTTTATGACAAAGACCTCTGTTCGAAGTTAGTCACCACATCATTATATAAAAAAAATATGAATGAATTGTGAAATTCTCGATGATGGTTGTCTCACTCCTCGTACTTGCTCCTTCAAACCGTTTTTAACGACATACTTATCCACTACAGACGACGATTCCAAATCCATCTCTTGTACCAAGTGGCGCAAAAGAGTATTCCCTTGAAAATGAAGTGACCAGGAAGTCCTGGAGGTTGTTAATCTCACCTTACTATCTATATCAGAAAAGCCGCAGCAACATGTGGCCTGCTATTTTCCAAGAGAAACAAAGGGCGAATGTGCGCCAAGTTATAGGCGGCCACGGCAACAAGTCTGTTTTTTGCCAGAGTCGAAATTTTATTTTCGATGGGTGCAATGGCTACTTGCAACGCGGTCAATCTCGCGCAGTAACTAAAAAACAAAATAATTCCATTGCGTCTCACATCCTTTTTACCTATTTGCCAGGGTATAAACTATTATCTTATGTACGTACCTTTACACGTATGATTTTGTTTTTATTACGTAAAACATTTTACAGTTGTATGGAACTCGGTATGGACTTTGGTGTAGCTGTAAATATCATTTGTACCGAAGTATCGGTTTTCGTGAAGATTGCTTGACTTCGAAAAGGAGGGATCTGTGGTACCCATAATCACCAAAGTACATACCAGGAAATAAAGACAGTTGTATCATACGCGATTGTAAACGTATTTTTCAGTATAAGTCTAAGAAGCATCAATCACACACTTTTGTACTCTACAAAGGGCAGAGTTTACTTAGTTACGGTAAAAACTCTCGGTTCCGCTCCTTGTATGAGCGCACGTACCTAGGCCTCGTGCGTTTGTTAACGTAGACTCTTGAGTAAGAGTTTTCTCTTCGCAAATAGCACGGCCAATACATTGCATCGGAACTTTCTACATCTTTTTTAAGCTCGGGTCGTAAATGCTGGCAATCAACACGTAGTAAATCCCGCTTCTTCTGGAGAGAGTAGTTTTTGAGAGCTGGGTCGTATTGACTTTATTCTCACGAGGTAAAAAAATACAGAGTTTAGCTCCGTCCTACTAGGCAAATGGTGACTTCTGGGACTCGACATATCCGCGAGGGATTCTCGGACGAGTTCGCGTGGGAGCATGACCCTTCATGCCTTCAACTATGAATGGAGGGAGCGTAATTCTCTCACAGATGTAATATGGCGAGCAGTACAGTGCTGATGGCATTGAATATCACTCACATTGCAACGGAATCGACGTGTACTTCGCACAAAGAAATCCTCGGTATAAAGAGCAGCGTTAACAAACACACAATGGTTAAGTTCGTACGCTTCGCCCGGCAGCAGATCCGAGAGCCTCCACAGTTGGACTTGTTGTGCTATTTTAGAAGTGGTGCATAAAGGTTAATTTAATTTAGCTTATCCTATTTAACTATATCTCATAATGGTTTTCGGAATGACGTATGGTATCCTATTTGACACTCGTCGATGTGCCCAATGTATGTGTGAGACCATCTTTGTTATCTGACGCGTGATTTGCAGCCCGTGAGTACAATGGACCACTCCTTTTAACAAAGTTCCGTCACCTATGCTTTATCATCATTAGTACTCACCACAACACCACAAAAATGTTACTATGATATATTTGTATAACCTTGAATCTTGCACAATTGTTTAGAATTGTTAGGTGTATGTAAACAATATATAATACTACATTCCCCGTTAAAGCGAGAATGGTGTGTATAATTAGAAATTATCCGGCTTTGAATTTTGAGTAAAACCTGTTTAGAAAATCAAGTACTAAAGGTATCATACTCTGAAAAAAATGATAAGTGATGTCGAGAGATAATAATAACAACTCACATTCTAACGATTTTTATTGTAGTGCACTGATTCATATTCAGCCTTCCAAAATGTTTGTATGCAAAGAGCCTAGCAATTTTGGAAAAGGCTCATTGGGTATCAAGGGAACATTGCGATAAGAACCTTTTAGTTAGTTTTCATCAGTAGTGAATAGTGTACTCTTACTTTGCTTTGCACTAGAGATAATTTTATGCGCGAACAAAAGATTCGATGACATGTGTGCACAGTATTAATGAATAACCTGTTTTAAACCCAATCACTCACGTTCGACAAATACTGCTGAATAAAGTCGACTGCAAGTAGCATTATTGATAAAAAGTAGTTATTAAAGTGGGTGTCTCTGCTGCGTAACATAGCTGATGCATAGTTTGTCAATCACTGGTCCTGAACAGAGAATTCGCTACCTCTAAGCTTATAAAAATGTCATGCATATTGTCCACCGAAGAAAATCGTATAAAATGTAGTACGACTTTCACGACATTTTCGTCCAGCTTTTAGTGAGAAATGTGACGTATGACATCCTTACACTGAGTTATTCATATTGCCATAATTTGTGCATGAAGGCGCCACACGCGTAACACCATTCTGCTGTCCCGAAAAACCGTCATGTCTGAGAAATGCTTACTCAGAGCTCACCTTGCTGTCCATGACGAGTATTCGTAATGGTCGTCATCATAAGAAAAATCAGGTATATTGTCTAGCTGTGACCCATCACACTATTTTAAGAAGCTTTGTTTAGCGTTAGACTAGAATTCGATGAGCTTCTACTGCCGACTATTTAGTCGACACGATTGGCTCAAAAAAGCATCCTTGGCAGCCATCAAATGTCGCACGCTCATGGCCGACCTGGGCCGACTCTCACAGCTAAATTCTCTCTAGTCGACTATTAACATTTCTACAAAATCATGACGATTGTGTCGACTGTCGCATGCAGCACGCCAATCATCAATTTTTCCTGTTATTACCGTAAACGTGCAGCCTCGGTGGAGCTTCCTGAGTCCACAGCATGGCTAGAACACCTTCAGCTTAATTTGACTACTGTCATCAATGCTAGTTCTTCCACCGCAAACACCAGAGTGCAGTACAAGGTGCAAGCGAGCTTTACGCCTCCTTGTTGTCAAGACTCAGAGCTGGTATGGTCAGTCACTCGCCCCTTTGAAGCCTACAGGCGTTTTCGCAAGCATTTGCTACGCCGTCTTCAGCCGGGTCACGTATGCCGTGCCGAGTGTAAATGGCTATACGCAGTAATGAAGAATCACTTTCCGAAACCCAAATTATTTGCAGCATATTCACCTCGTACGACAGAGGCTAGACGGCAGGCGCTTGTACGTATGCTACGTACACTTCATGCTTCGTTAGTTAATCGTGGCAACCAGGGCTGCAAAGTGCTCGTGCGCAGCGTCCGTATGGAGTTTACCAAATTTATATTGGGGGAAAATGAGCCACCTTCAATGGCAATGGCGGATAGCCGCCGTAGCTCCGACGAGACGACACGCGAATCTTCCGCTAGTTTTATGTCCAAGAGCAGCAACGACGAAGACGATACCAATAAGCTTTCACCATTTCACGAAACTTTCAAATTCAGACGAAGCAGGGGATATTGTAAGTCAGAGTCTGGTCAGTGAAGGAAAGCAATGTCTGTACAGATGGGGACAACAGAATCGCTTCAGGACAAAAACTTGCATCAATTTCATGAGTCACGTCGCGTGATATGCAGAATGAGTAGATATTGTGGTTTTGTGTCGTTTAGTACATTACTTTATTACATGTAGGATCTTCTGAATTCGATCAAACGGAAATCAGGAGCCACATCAAAATATTGCAAGCGCATTCGGGGCTGTACGTTCGGTTTAGAATTACAAGCCACATAAAGGAGCTCGTACAGATCCAAAGGTTAAACAAGTAATCGACATAATAAGTGTTTAGCTGCGTCCACTACTTTAGTTGTGCCGCACTAAAGATCAGAGTGTTGTCAGATGTGCTGCAGTTTAAAAAGGATTGGTAAATTCCGCGCAGCCGACAATATTTAGTGTATAGGTTGATGATGCTCTAATGCTCTCGACTCTTTGTTACTTCCTGTGACAGACAGTGGACATGATGTTTACTTTTAATCTTTGCTTTTTCCATTCTTTTGTTTTAAACATTGTGTTTTCAAAAAGTTCGGGCTCCTGTGTCCAATCTTTTCGACATATTTTTCAGCTTCTTGTACACGACTCTTTTTTCAGGTTGAAGTCAGGCTTCGGTTTCGCCGCCAGTTCAAATTCAAAGGCAACATTATAAGGCACCATTTCAGTTTATTTTTCTTGCTTGTTCCTGTTTTGACATTATGTGTTTGTTTTGGGTAAAGCCCCATTATGTGAAAATTACAAGTTTGGTAATGTTTGCAGAAGGGTTGTATTGATTTCGTTTAAAACGTGAAATTTCCACACAAAATAAGTTACTACACCGACCTTAAGGTTCAAAATTGAATTCTTACTCGGCAATCAGGGCACCGCATCTCCTCGTTCAGCTTCTGGACAATACACTCATCATGGAATCGATGGCCGCATGATAAAGTGGTTGTATAGCCTAATAACCCGCTACGGCGAGAAGATGAAGATCTGTGACGATCTGCACTAGGAGACATCGGACGGCTGTGTAGACTACAGCTGCACAGTGAACACTGGTCTGCTGTATCATCATTGTCGACTAATAAGTCATCTGCCTCGTCTGATGTCATGGAAATGGAAGAGCAGATGCTGTTGCGCGGTTTGGCGAGGTTAGATGAGCTGGACCTGCCCCCCCTTAACTCATCTAGCAGATGGCGCTTGTCACTCAGGCCCTCCAACACGAAGTCTACCATTAATTTTGTCATGCTACCGGCGACGATAGAGCACGCTGACGCATTATGCGGGTCCACCAAGAACTTTTGCAGCGATGTCAGCATATGTTCCAGCGCAATGCGTCGTTTTTCTACGGCACAGTCGCTTTTAGCACCCAAACTAAAGAATGAAAAAGAGCCCGGGAAATAGCTTTTGACAAACGAATAAAGCCATGGACATTCACCCTTGCAATAGTGGCCCAGCCTTAATGCTGCTAGTAGACGCGTCTGGAATTGTTTGTACTCGTCGAAGGAGCGTGCCCTGTGCCAATATGTTTTTGAAGCAGCGTGCTCCACGTCGAGTACGAAGCGTATATCTCGCTTACTGAGACGCACGACCTTGATACGCAGTGACATTTGATCCAGTAGTACGGCGAGCGGGGTTAGCGGGGTAAGCGTCACGCGTTTATGCATGAAAGATCCTCCATGTGATGAACTTTGATCTGAGTAGCGATGTCGATGATACATTTTTTAATCACTGCAAATTGGAAAGTGGGGGAACGCTTTATCTTGGTGTCGGGCGTAATCGCGTGTGGTGATAACGTAAACTATCTTTTCTATGTACTGAACCCACTTTTTATAGAATGTAATATACCTTTTTGACTTAAATCGCTGACCTCAGTAAGCACCGCTAGTGACGCATGCATGTATTTGTACTGAAGTCTGACGTTGTCTTGAGGCTTTTCCAAAGGATGACCTAACTCTTTGGCACGGACTAAAAAATGAAAGCGTACGTAGATGCTCTGATAGCTTTACATGTATCACAAGGGCAGAAATTCCACAGTAGTATCAGCCTTAACTGCTATGTATACGCGGACTAATTTGAACTTAACTTTTCTCTGCACTAAAAGGTGAAAACATACTAGTATTACTTTGAGTCGAATATAGAACTATTTGGTGCCCAGTGAGCTAATTCTAGACTTATTATAAGAGCTCATTTCGCATTGGGGTAATCATTTAGACTTTTCATGATTTATCGCGTGGAATAGGCTCTTCGATGATATCATATAGTAAGTAGTCTATTCCCTCAGAAGCTTATATCTTAATCTCAGCTACAAGTTTTTATTTTGCCAAGAAAATTCATAAGTCGAAATTGGGGCGGATCTAAATTCTAATTAATTATTTCTTTTGCTTAGCACTGAGATAAGAAATCCATGTTGGCTAATTGTGTCCATCGAGCCACACCTCTGTAGAAAGACGTATTGATCAAATCTGTTCGATACCTGTGTAAAGTCCGCAATCGTGTTCTTCTATTCATCTTAAAAGTCTTCTCGAATACGGTACTGGTGTACAGTACAGTAAGCATTCCTATGCATCTCTTACTTGATCTTTTGGTACCACATTACGGAAGAAAAGATGCTCGAGTTAACTACCATTTACTGACCAGCCATACATGCTTTTTGCTAGAATGGATTAAGGTAAACGAGTTTCTTACTTTTGTTAAAGCGCGTACAGTATTGTCTTACGTAAACATGTGCTTGATGACGATAAATGCCTGCCGATTCATGTCGATATATGTAGGGTAAATACAAATGGCCTGAAAAATGGGCTTTCTTCATGGTCATTTGCTGTGGACAAATCTGAGTCCATGATACATGTAACGTCCCTGTTTTCCTGGAAGAAATTCCTTCGGGCTCAATATGACATATACAGCTATGATATCTGAGGTTGAAGATAAAAATATCCTGCTCAATATATTATATTTGTAATACGCTTTGATCACTTACGCAATATGTCCTCCACCCTCGTGATATTTACAATACGACGCGGTTACATTCATGTTATGAACTTCCTTCGGAACCTTCAGTGCAAGAAGATTTCAATTAGGACGGTTATTCGTCTGATCTGTCACATTAGACAAGCAAACCCTATACGCGAAGGATTTCCATGCCATTAGTTCAAATATCGTAGAACACAAAAAGGCCACTCGTATTCTCTGTCGTTGAACTGTACAAATCGGCAATGCTAAATAACTGCTTATAAGGTTTAAGTGATAGTACATTTTTGAGTAGATTGCATAGTTAAACCGTGTTCGGCAAAAATTTTCCTTTCCTTTACTCTATTGTAGCCATTGTTCGGGAAGAAAAGCGAAGATTAACCATTTTTTATGCTTTAAATAGTGTAAAACTCGCCAAATTTGATATCGAATTTTGTCGTTGGAGCAAATCATACTCGACAGCCCAAAAAAAACCAGCACACGGATTAGACAAACAATTGACATATGCATCACAAGTAACGCGATAGAAGCCTTTAAAACTGATGCTATAGACTCACAATCTTACGCAACTATCAACGACGAAGTAGAAGTGAGGAAGAATGAGCAGTGAAGCTAATAATTATTCGACTGTTTTTCTATGATAAAGTTGCAGCAACGATCCATAGTCTTGGCGACCATAGCGACACTAATTTTGTCTTACAGGATATCATATCGCTTCTTTACCTGACCGCTGGAGGTGATTAATGCCATCAACTTGCTGTAGATACAGACGTTTAGCTTTGTAATATGAGTCCGAACTAGAATCGATTGCATTCTGGTTGCGTGTGGATCTATCGGATCCAGCGAATTCGTCTTCAAGCCAGGCTGCATGTACAACTTTTGTCTGAACATTGAATACTTGATGAAAAAACCTTCATTAAACATTATTGCATATCATTACTATAAGAGCCGCTAAATGCCACCAACTTCCGCACATATACTCTTTGTATCGGTTTGCGAGGTTGCTTGATCAATAAATTTCAATCGAGGAAAGCATTTCGTACATTCAATCGTAACTTTCATAGATGCATAAAATGATTAAACTGATTGTGGGAATAGCCAATAAATCTAGTTTACTGAGGATTGCCTGCTCGTTACTCACGCTTACAACTTGATTCAAGCATAAGCACGGCACATGACCAGAAAATACTTAGGTTGACAGATTTGAACATAGGCTTGCGATCGAAAAACCGTACAATCAACTATATTGGACACCCATATTCTAAGAATAACCAGCATCTTCTTTTGATGAGTGCAACATCTCGGGATTATAAATAAATACATCGAAAGTGACTAAATCATCACGATCATGTAAGGAAATGGGTCTTTATAGATCGTTTTGCTGATCAAACAATGTTTTTGCGTCACGCATGATGATCACAGAGATTTATCATGATCTTGCATATTGAGATGTCATACAATATCAGAGAATCCACTTGAGTGTTATAATTGAAAGTCCCATAGTGACAGCATGGCAAGCTCTAAATTTAGAGGACTCGAAGTAGAACAAATACATTTCACCAGCTTAACCACGCTAGTTCTCATCGAGCGCCCTATTGAAAGACTGTTTGGGCTTGAGGTACTTGCCTATGCGACATCGGTTTTCAAGCGCAAAAAGTAATTCAGTGAAGATCACTCCACAGAATATAATGTTAGACGTTGACGAGAAGGCGCTGATGCTGCCAGCCGACGAGTTTGCTTGTTCTTGCTGATGTTATAACTGGTGATGCAGCTATGAATGACAGGCACAATCATAAGTAGTTTAACATCCAGCTCTAGTGTGAAATATTTCTAACGTCGTAGCGCCTAGGGTAAACCTAAATCTTATGCGTCCAGCCTTCGACGATGATGAAAATATCAGTGTCTCTTTGTTTTCTAAACAATTAAGTTTGCTGCAGTATGTCATTGAAGTATATTCTCGCAGCAAAGTTTCATATATCGAGTTAGCTAGCGTCGAACAGCACAATACTTGTATTTTTGTATTAATATTACAATCCATGTGGTAGATGACGACTTTGGGTCTACAGTAGCAATCTGTAGAAAGTCAGCAGATTTCGATTGAATGCGTAACCTTACATTACTTTTGTTAAGATGAGCTGGTCGTCAGCCCAATACTAATATAATAACATCAAACAACATTTCTATTACACTATCAAAATGCTAAATTTTTAACTGCGAGGAACGCTGCATAATCTCCATCTGATGCTTGAGCAAATAGCACACAGCAGCACGAGACACACCAAACTCTTTGGCAAGATGAGCCTGTTTTTCACCTCCACGTACACGGCGTACAATCTCACAGCGCTCACGTTCTTTAAGGTATTTCTTCTTCACTCGCTTGCCAACTATACCGGCACATGTAGTAATTTGTGAGGCGTAGAGACCTATCCTTGGTTTTGCGCGCTTGCACACTTTGTTTTGGGTGTTTAAGTTGGATATAAATGAGAGACTATGTCTGCAGAGATTATTGTCCATTTGCATGTCGCGTGCGGTGGGGCGTGTTTGATACACGCCGTTGGGACTCTGCGGTTCTTGACCGTTTGTGAAAGACAGTGACAAAGGCTGCATTGTGACCGAGCTCTGGAGAAAAGTTTGGAAGCTGGGCAGAAGTGTTGTAGTCATATTCGGATGAAGAATTAATTGTTAGCTGCTCAAATTTAAAATGACCTGCGTCTTCATTCAGTCGTACCTTCGTACTATTTATTCGTTAAACTATATATTTATCAAGAGAAAGCGTAACACCCGATTGCAGTGGGTCCGTTTCTATACGCATCATCTATCCTTGAGGTTACGGTAATTATGTTCGTGTCTTTGTCACTTGCAAGGGGCTCCTTACAAATTTCCTATGGTTGAGGAAACGCATGCTATTCCTCTAAGTGACCTTTTTATCCTACAGAAGCACTTCTATGCCACAGCTCTGTCCTAAGGTTATCGTATCTATTTTAGTATAATACACGGAAATGCAATTATCCGCGGATCAGATTGACAGATAGCGTAACGAGAAGGCCAATGATAAGTCCTGTAGGCCAACGATCAGTTTTGTAGGCTCACGATTATGCAGCGAAGATATTGACCAGGTTGGCTTTTGGAAAAATAATTAGAAATTTGTTGTCTTCAACATCGCCAAAAATCTGGTCGGAAAATCTTTTTGCACGAATTAATTTTAATAACCAATGTTATTGATAACAAGTATGGCAAGTACAGAGTAAAGTGAGGTTTCCTTATACAACATGCACAAATATGTGAAGCTGTAGTGGAGTACAGCAACTTTCTTAGGTATAAAACAACGAAAAAATGAGAGAAATAAAAGCAAAAATAATCGTGCAAAGTATGCGGATCATAGAAAATGACAAGCCGCGCAAATGAATATTGTTAACACTGAATTTGGTATGGGGATACCATATGCGAGCAAGTATAAACGATATGATAGCTCGTGTCGAGTAAAGGTCCGCGCCAGGGATTGCTGCAGCTACTTGAAAAGAAATTAAGCGCCTTATTGCGTATACGGCAACTTTAAACTACTTTGAAAGGAAGAAGAGGCGCTTGAGAAATCAATATAGCGAGGCGTTTAGAATAGGGACCTTTGGCAGATCGTTAGTCTCAGATTGAACTACGTAGGTGCTAGAATTTTGTCCATCAATCGCAATTTGGCTACGCGATTGAGTTGACGATGCGTTTGAGGATTTGGAGGACGTGACGAACCCAGCATAAGATTTCGTTTTTTAAAGTATGTTGTAAGAGCTTATGGTCTTTTGACACAAAAAACGGCCTTAAGCTTCTATGATAATTAGCTTTACTTAAGCTTGGCTACTAAATGAAGCCCGAGTGAGTTCAATACAACTCTGGACAAGCATACGAAAAGTGCTTCAAGCAAAGTTAGGGATCAGAACTTGTAGCGTGAATTTGGTGCTTCGAGTCCATTGTTCCTGGAGAATGTGTTTCATTCAACATGTCACCATAAAGCTGTTTTAACTACTGTGCCTTTTAAAAGCGCACGATGTAAATGATCAACTTTGTTGCCATCATGTGTTTGATCAGAATTCAGCTCAGAAATCAATTCTCGGGAATAATTAAACGTATACTCAGCCTCAGGTTACCCTCCTATGTTTCAACAAGATCAACGAAATGGGGTCCCGCTTATTAAGTTTCGAATACCCCTATCGCTGTCTCTAGCAAGGTATTACAGAGCAATCCACTACACGTGGTAGAGCTTGTAGTTAATCGGTAGCCAACATGAGCGCTGTTTGCCACAGCTATATTAATGTTTTGAAAGGACTTGTGCTCATCTCATTGACTATCAATTTGAATATGACATTCAAGATTTATGTCTATTGAAAATGATTGGCAGCTGCAACACAGGTGATCTATTCAAGCACTATTCGAAAAATCCGGAAGAATTCATATTTTTACCCAAAACAGATATTAATGTGGATTCGCCCACATGATCGACACAGGGCCGCTACTGCATGTCTGGGTCCATGATGGAAGGCTTTGTGCCTAGAGATTATTTTTGATGGTGTGCTGAGGTGTGGTACAAGATTTAGTAGTGTAACAGCGCAATGATACTCGTGTACGGAACTTTACTTCCACATCTGAAGATGTGGTCTCGCATCAAAACCCAGACCACTTTTTATATTATTCACCAATGGCATTAACGAGAGTGACTGCACGTCGATTAGCGCTTCAAAAGCCCAATGTCAACCTTTTTTTGGTCTTTTATGTCACCATGGCGTCATCCACCTTCCAAAACTTTGCCTGTTGTAGCCCTTCCACATCAATGTTGGCTCGGGCTTGCCTTCAACGGGCCATAACGTGCCGATGTCAACGTCCACAACCTAATTTTGGGTTATCAAGAAGTACGTCACCCTTTCGTTCTAAGAATAATCGATATGAAGAAGTGCTTTATCAGAAACCTCATATACGCGACAGCGCGACCCGCGGTGACGTCGTTTGTGAAAAGCTTGGGATTGGCGCGGCAGCGAAGGAACAGCTTGTAATGCTGAATGGAGCAATCAACTCAGTAATTGGACGCGGTTCCAGGAACCTGCGTCGGATTATCGTCGGCAATAGAGATGTAGATTGCGGACCCCACGCGACGATCAACGTTCACGAGACATTTCCCGTTTAGGGTCGGAGGTCCATCAGTTTGTCGCAAATAGAAATTTCGTCCCACCGCCTACACGCTGTTGATGCAGATCAATGGTGTTCCACTCGCGCTACTGCATCTTGACCTCCGCGTCGTCAAAGTGTAGTCCAGGAGTCCAAGCGGCCGACGCACGGCTAGATATATGATCGCATGTTTGGTATAGGCTTCTGTTTCTGCCACATCGGGATGGCGTTGCGGTACTCCATAGTATCAGATCGATGAATAATCTGGTGTTGAATAGTCGATGGTGTGATGGCCAAGCAAGCACTGTCACTATTTTAGGCTGTAGGGGTTTTCTGCCACGAAAAACTAAAATGTTGTGAAACCCGTGAGTATATCGCTCACGTCGTATATACCGCGTTGTGGTGTTACACTGTTGTTCCTCGGACATGGAGTCAAACTTAGAAATACTTAAGTATGATACTGAGACAAAGATTTTATAGCAGATACGAGGCGGATAATTATGGAAAAATGGTAGGTTAGACACGTGGGCTGCCAGTCTTACACTATGCAGCACATAATTTTCATTATGAAAGAGCTAGTCGACTAAATGAAATATACGGCACTCGTAATATAAAAGAGCTACCTGACTGCTTAGTCTACACGTCACTTCTCCTGTGTGTTTGTCAATGCGAACTCGTTAAGTCAAGGCTTTCTCTGTGCGAGATGCACGGCAACCCCGTTGTATATGGTAGCACTTGCTGTCAATGCGGAGACCAAGGTTTAAAGACTTGACGATGGGGCCCAAATTAATTTCAGTATTTATCGCTGGACAACCACTAAGCTCATGTTGTTAGTAAGTGCCGAGAAGATGGCACGCTCGGCTGCCCGAGGGCCAAAGTAGGTATCGCTGGCACGGAGGCATTCGCCGGATATCACAATGTGATACATCTACATAAGCGTTAATACCAGGCGTCGACGGGGGCACCATCAGTGTTTACCGTGATCTCGCATATGCTAAGCGTCCACTCCTTCATGGGAGGAAACGTGAAGAATCTCAGTCTGAACAATAAATATTGAGATGATTTCATCCATGCTCCGATCGGGGGGCGATAGAGTGTCACTCTTTCGGTCTGCACGCTTAGAAGATAAGCGAAAGAATAAGAAATTTAAGCGTTTGAAGAGGTATTGTTTATAGGAGCGGTAGATACTGCGTCCGTTTGCACCGCCTAACAAAACGTACCGTATGCGATCCGAATTCCTGTCCACGCATAGAGCGAGGCAAAAGGTAGTGGACTATGCCTAAAACCCTATGCTGCAATATCGGCTGGCTTCTTTTTTAAGGCTGTTACGATTACCATTTCTACGGAGGGTCTAATGGTAGGCGCGAATCACGCTAACACCTTTCCTATCGAGCCACTATGTCTTAGAAGTGCGGTGGGTGGCACATTTAATTTGGAGCACGACATAATGTTGCGAGGAACCCAATCGCTCGTGGTAGGCACAATGCGCTGGACATTCTTGTCTATCATCCCTGTAAGATGAAGACTGGAGATGCGCCAAGTCGCAACCAGAAACGATACCAGGACAATCTTGTAAATATCGATTATGCCTTCAATTAATCACCGTCCTACTATCTGTTTGACATGCAAGTGGGCTGTTCTATTTAGAGACAATGGGGGACGTCTTTGTTCGTGACTATCTTCAATGAGATCTCTGAGTGGTAGCAGCATGCTGACCTTCTCAGAGAGTTTCGGCGCGTGGCCAATACTGACACCATTTTTACAAATGCGCTGACTGAGACGCAATTGGGCCGCTTGGACTGAATTTCATTAAGCGTTTCTGAAGCCGAATGTTTAGCTTGGCTGCAGGGGATGAAATAGCAAATTTTGTTTCAACAGAAAGACTCGCATCCGAAAAGATTGTGAGAGGGAGGACTTTGTGTGGCTACAACAAGCTCAACTAAAACACAGGGTGTATTTGTATTTTCTTGAGAGGCAATGATGTCATTTGATTGTCTCTAGATATCATCGTTAGCGATCCGATGCAGTGGTTCGCAACTTAGTCTTACAGGCTGCAGACGCTTCACATGTGGAGCATTCGATAGCCTTTTCGCCCACAACATATTCCCATGTGTTAAGTCTGCTTTAACCTGCGTACTGCTTCTACATATCCTGATCTTCTGTCGTAGTGCCGCGCACACGGTTCATTATGCTCAATTTGCTGAGAATAATTTTTCCGGTTCTACAATGTAGCGTAGCAAGTCGAATGATCACGTCATCTCGACAAAATCTTCCCCTTCACGATTAAAGCCACTTTGAGGTGGAGAGAATGAAGCATATATTAAAAACTAAATGGACTCGGTAGAGGTGTAAACCGCGATGCTGAGCGCATGCAAAAAAGCTGGAGCATTTTGCTGCAGTGCTGCGAATTATCCGCACAAGCACTTCGCACGGCCGCTTTAAGCGCATTCCATCTGATCAAATACGATAGGTGATTGTAGAAGGACATGGTCAATCAAGTGTCAAGCACCTTGGTTAAAATGTCGCGGATCTCGATTCAAAAAAGAAAACCATCGCCAAACATGTCGGCATAAAGAATCTGTTGAAAACCTTCAATCCCACCGGTAACGGTGTCGCTGACAGCGGCTAAATTTTTGGTCGTGCTCAATAGATCTACAACGACCAGAGTACCAATACAACAATACGCTTAATTTGGGAGACCAAAGATTACGCTATACTGGCGGACTGCCAACGTTCTGCCAGAACCGACAGACTGGTCGAAGACGCCGACATATGTGTCGAGAGTTTAACCCTCGACACTTATTTATTGTAGGTACATACGTGCTTACTCACTTGAACATATGAAGTCACAAGCACATGGCGGTCACTGAGCAGTATGATAACCTGGGATCCTCAGCATGAGGTATCACTGCACGTTAAGTTTCAAGTGCGCCAGGAATTTGCTTTAGAGTGAGACCTGAAACAAAGAATTATGATGCAAATGTGCATCCTAACGCTTAGACAAAGCGGCATCCGGGTTCGAAAACCACGTCCTCCGCTAAGTTTTCAGCATTGCATCACATGTCGCATCTGATCCGTACGTTGTTTGTATGGTATCGTGGATGCGTGACACCACCGTTGCGGCATGCGGCAATTCATAGTTTGGGCGACGCAAAACGCATCCGCAGCCGCATTAAGTCGGCCCAGCCTACACCTTACCTGGCCGGCAAGAAAGGATAATCGATTCGCCCTATTTTGCAAAAGATGCGGCGACGGTGTCGTTGCAGAAGCCTTGCATGTTCTGTGTAAATTACAATGACCTGGATGTAACTTGACAAACGCTTAATTCATAGAAAGTAGTTTCTTTTCATGATACGAGTAGTTCTTTTCTACGCTTTCAGCAAGCGAGCCTCAAATGCGGGTATCTGCTTATAATGTTTGGCTAAGGTCGAGACTTCATAGAAACCTTTCTGCTATTAAAAGGCTGGATACTTGGCGAAAGCGGCCTCACTTTGAGATCCAGCTATACTTCGACAAACGTCTGGTCGTGGCGTTCGCTGCAATGTCCCACCGGAGCATTTTACACAGCTGATCAACCCTTCATGCGCTCCAGAGTCCGTCCTTGGGCTAGTTACGCTATTTACTTATGATTAATTGACGACAGAGACACGGTATGCATGTCTTCCCATTATAAATCTTATATGAAAACAATTCATGTCTCATTTATTTATTAATTTATAGCTGTCGGATTGAAGATGAATTGTACCAAGCGCAATAGGAGCTTCCCTGCACCTTTTAAAAATGATAAATGTAGTCGTAGAGTTCTTGAGAAAAAGCGAAAGGAGGGTTTTGCGGCCATCGCACGGACACGAACGTAAGATCGTATGAAGTTTTCGTTACTTTACATCCGATCCTATCACAAATGATATATAGCGTTAGCACTGGCTGAAATTGATTCTGAAAAAATGAAATTTGTAAATGTCATGATATGACATATACAATGTTATACAATGCGTGGGGTCTGCATACTTGTCCCATAGACCTTTTAAAGAGATCCCTATCCTACTTAAATGTTTTCATCTTTCACTGTTGTCCCTCCTATCCTACTTATATGTTTTCATCTTTAGCTGTTGTCCCTCAGGCGTGAAGTAAAGCTAAAAAGTTCCAAAGTGTAAATATGATTAAAATCATGATTGGTCGGGATGAAGACGACTGGATTTTGGAATGAAGTGGTCAAAAGCGCACGTGGTTTATTTGTCCTCAAGCCGTGCTTAACAAAAAATATTCACTGGAGAAGTAAGACAGATATTCCTAATGTCATTATAAGCTAGACTCGAATCAATTTACATATCAGTCTTCAAATACAGGAGTAATTTAGGTATCTACTATCTCGATTTTCGATGCGGAGAAAATCCGTCCTCTATACATTAGTTTGGGCGGACTCTTGGGGTAAAGCTTTCTCTGTTCGAGGTGCACAGCAGTTGCATTGAGCAGCACCTGTCGTCAGCTCGACAAAAATGGCTGGATATTCTGTGAAGGTGAGAATTAGTACATTCTCAAATTAGTTTTCAGAGCAACACACCATTAAGGAGCTTCGATCTTCAGCTAGTCTCACGGAAATTGCGCAATTGGTGGCCTGACGGTAAGAAAGAGGTATCGAGAGACTGGAGGAATATATCAGCAATGAAGAATATGTTGATAAGTGAGCTCGAAAGAATGTTCAACTAGCGTCTATAAGAGCGAAATCGATTTCCAAAAGAAGCTTCCAGCCCCTGACGACGAAGACGGTAAAAGCCTCGATCTGAATAAGCTAAGCTAGATTGAGTCGACCATGGGCTCGGCAATACTCAAGACAAAACATCCGCAAATCACGCCAGCTGTCACCACCCTAGGAGGTAGATAGCGTCCAGGTTGGTCATTCATAATTAATCGTTTGCGACGCTTTGGTATATACCCGAATCGCCGAGGTGTCATAGACGACATGAAATGGACGTATCAAAGTTCAAAATGATGGCGATGAATATGAACGCATCATCGTATCTATTGCTCATCAGCTTACAGCGACAGAGAAGGATTACTCCAATCATGAGAAAGCCCTACTTGCTAAGAAGTATGTTCTTTCAGATATAGGGTACATGTGCTTACAGATCATTAATCCATAACGCCCAGCGACATGGTAACCACATCTCTCACAGAGAATAACGAGATGATATTCTTTATGTTTCCATTTAACCCCAAATATAAAAACCAGGTTGGCTCAACGCTGTGGGTGTTGCGCTTTTGTGTCGCCCTGATTATGAGATGTCGTATGACCTCGCGCATCTACGAGACGAATCGTACAGCATACGGGTCAGATGCAGTACGTGATGCGCTGCTGAAAGCTATGTAGAGCGAGGACCTTTCAGGCACAGATGTCACGTAGTCGAAGGGTTCCATTACACATAAGTTTCGTTATTCCACGTCCAGCGTCTTACTGTATCGCAGCACTGACTCAATTGAACCTCGACATTTAGTGATACGTCGTAACGATGAGCTCAAGTTTAGAATACTATATGCGGCACGAAATAACCCTATGTGTGACCACATCGAGAGAGATAGTATGTTAGTTAGTGAGCGCTTTGGACTTATACCCTCATGTGTAGAAAAAGGCAAGCATCTTTGTGTGTGCGCGCAAAACGCGTCAACAATTTCGGATCTCGTTGCATGCACAGGCTCCTTTGGCCAGCCTACCGATTTCGGATTTCCCTATGTTTGAACTTGTTCTGTGTCGATCAAAAGTTGCGTTCGATAATACCGATGTAGTGGTCTTCGTGGACCGTCTTGACAAGATAGTTCGTCTAACAGCTGTCAGTGGCAATGGTACCGGTAAGGGAATACCCGCGAGGTTTTTCGCCAGCAGTTTTTCGACAGCAATTTTACCGCTGACCATTGTCTCAATTCCAGATTCGCATTTTTCAACAAGTTCTGGCAGACATCGTTTCTATTACTGGGCTTTAAATTAGGCTTTTTTAACACTGGCAATATATAGACGACAGGTCAGACGAAGCACAATTATTACGTGATCAGGTATATGTTCCCCAGAGCACTTCCCCGAGTAGTCCGCGGTAATACCCCAACTATCGAGTTTGCAGTGAAAAATACCTGCAATGCTTCTACAAACTTCACCCCATTTTGGTAGATGATTTGTTAGCCAACGTGTTTTCTTGACACCGCCACAAAGTGCATCCAGTCATTCTGAGTGAGTGAGGCTGGGGGCGAAACAGTTTGATTTGCTGTAGCACCGGGCTACCCTTCGTAGGAAAGTGAAGTGTCCAATTTCATTAGATTAAGCATTATGCGCGGATTGCGCAACGCAATAGCTAGGAGTCAGGACGTGCAACGCATCATGCAGGTGTTAAAGTAGTCTAAACACACATGTTTTGTAGCGGGTGAAAGGCACTATTGAATACAATTGGACTATCAATACATGATGTGTCTGCAGCCCATAATGCTAATTTACGGCTTCGCTACAGTAAATCGTTCTCAGTGTAGATATGACTATTAAGAGCTAATCGTTCAATTAACCATAGTAGATGCGCTCACATCCTGTTCTCTATTTGGGCTCTCAATAGCCAAACCATGCACTTGCACGAGCGCGACGGTTGAATTTAAAGCGCTCTACTGAAGACGGAGCAACGTCTCAACCATTCCTGCCTTCATAGTTCTGACAGCGATACGCTTTGAGTTATGCGAGGTGAAGCTGGTTTGACGGCGGAGCCGCTGGTCTTCTTCAACTTGTGCGGATATTCAGTAAAATATCTTCGGCACTTTCGCCAGCAGTCAGAAACAAGATATACCGTAGTCTGCGAAGGGACAGATTCACCCGATCACTGCAGCGATCTGTGGGGTCAGAGAATGGTTACAGAGCGAAGACTTGTGCTAGAGTTCTCGCCACGACGTGATGGAAAATTTCTGATAAATTCAATCCTTTCACAACGTGATAGACTGCAAATCTCGTTGCGACTCTTGCGGTCAAAGGCAAGCAAGCTTGGCTAACTGAGCTGGCTCCAGCTCATTAACGTTCCCTTTGAAAAGGACACGTAGTGTGCAGTTCGTTCAGTGAAGAGGCAAAGCCAAACGAAGCCTGTTTTTCCAGACGGCACTGCCATAAGTCAATGAGGGCGGAGATACCGAGGTGATCTTTATAACCGCTTTTATCCAAGAACAGATCAACCTCTCAGATATTTTAAGTACAAGATCGCCGGCCGCGAGAGCCGCGCCTTACTTAGGGAATCCTTGAGTCATAAAGGCACGTTATGGATAGAAATGCGACACTGATATGGCTTGTAATAGCAGGCAAAGTATGGTGCAAGGAGTAAGAGAAAACTCCATGTCTGGTGGATTCTCATTGGTTGCATTGATTTGCGATTAACAGGCTGAACTTTAGTGCGGTTCAAATCTGGGTGTAGGGAGATTTAGCGGAACAATTTTTCAAAAGCGATGTGGAAGACCGCTGTGCACGAAATATAAGATTGTCGTAGTTGAGAAGTCAATTCTCTCAATCCATTAATAGCAGATTGTGTCGCTATCTGTCCGACAATGTTACTGGTGTAGAGAAGGTAGCACGTACGGGATATACTGTGATCAGGGACAGAAGAGGTATACTAGGCAAGCATACGTCATTTTTGAATTACTTGAGCAAATCACTTGACAGGATTTCGGGTGGAACGTTACGAGTTTACTTTTTGTGCGTTGTAAACACGAACTCTGTTGATGAAGGTTTCTTCTGTGTAAGGTGAACGGTTATTTCGTGGCAGTATCTTTTAGCTCTGCTTCGGTTTTGTATGACAATACTGTGAAGGTGTCTGCAACATACGCGAAATTGTTGCGGAAAATAAAAAAAGTCTTATTAAAAGATAAAAAGAATGTAACAAAGTTTCTGATGTTTAGAAAATTGCTTATCGTGGTATTTTCCGTAGCTTTAACCGCATCGACAATTCTTGCTCGTGATGTTCATGTGGCAAGTGAAGGTTTAGGAGGCTGTGATCTAGATGAATATCTTGTGATCGCACCTGTGCCAGTAGACTCCAATCGTTTTCAAATCGATTGAAAGCTGTAACTCTTCCAGTTAATTTCAACAAATCGTGTGTGAATGTCTGTGTCAAATTCTCTTGGCCATTGTCACTTAATTCGAGCTGCATGGCTTGATCAAAATATGTGAAAAGAAGATCGCCATCTAGTTTTCCGGTGTTTCCGCTTATATCAGCGCCATTTTCATATTGTTCCTTCTCCAAATCCTGCAGAGCATCAGCTAGTGCACGCCCAAGCAGAGACTGTCGATATCCGTCCATTTAAGTAACACAATATATATTGACCAATCATGAATCATTTTTTCTCGTCCACGATCTCAGATCACAATGACCATCCGAGATGACCAGGATTTCCTGAGCGAAAACGAGCGCCAATATCTCGCTAATTGCTTACGTCATCCGCCATATTTACGTGCTGATGGTCGCGAACTTCTTCAGCAACGTAAAGTTTCGATTCAATTTCGACGTAATGAGACTGCGAGTCAAGCCGAAGTGCAGCTAGGTCGTACTCGGTACGCAACTTCACTACAATGTTATGATATATAGATCGAGTAATTGACGTCTTTGGATAATTCCTGGTAGTGTTATTGGCAACGTCTACGGAGAGATTGTACCACCATTTCCAGATAGACCAACTGAAGGATTTTTACACTTTATTGTCGAGCTATCACCCATGGCATCACCAAGTTTTGAAGCCTCTGCATCTGCTAGCCGCAACGCTGCTTCTTCTATTGCAGCTGCTGAATTAGCGAGACTTGTGGAGCGTGGCGTGCGTGAGAGTCGTGCGTTGGATACAGAAGCGCTTGCAGTTGTGGCTGGTGAGAAGGTTTGGGCAATTACGTGCCACGTTCATGTAGTAGATCATGGCGGCAATCTTGTAGATGCTGCATCATTGGCTGCCATTGCAGCTCTCATGCACTATCGTCGGCCAGAAGTAGCAGTAAAGCAGGATGCAAGTGGTAACGGTGGCGTAACCGTTTACAGTGTGGATGAACATGCGGCAGTTCCCCTGAGTCTTCACCACATCCCCATTTCGATATCGTTTTGCTTTCTGCAGGCTACGAGTCGGCAGAAATCTGATGAAATGGATGACGATATTGATGCTGATGAGGATGGTGAACCTATCATATTTATGGATCCAACTGACCATGAGGAGCACATCACAGATGCACGCATGAGCTTTACGTTTAATTCTTTTCGTGAGCTTTGCGCTGTGCACAAAATTGGTGGAGCTGCCATGTCTCAAACGACTGTGCTCCGGTGCGCGAACGTGGCAGCAGCGCGAGTCATTGAGTTGACAACATTCCTTAAAGAGGAGGAAGAGAAAGCAGACAAGTTGGCTGTGCAACGTCGCCGTGCGCTGCTTCGTGGTCGTGCTTTTGCGGATGTTTCATCAACTGTAGACGAAGCAGTCACCATCAGTCCTGTCGAAAAGGTTGATCTGGGCGCCATGACAGACTTCTCGACACTGCATGCACCCATTGCACTGCGCGATGATCCTACAGTAGAGGATACAACTCACCAGGTATCTTCTATGGCGGAATTATTAGAATCGCTCGAGCGCGCTGCCAACTTTACAGAAGAAGACTTGCCTCGGCCAGTAACAGCCGGTCTTGCGATGACTGACGCATCTCGAGAGGAATTTCGACAGCTAGCAAACAGCGAAATAGTGCGTGATTTGATTCAGAGTAACTCAAAGGAGCAACCATTAGCTCACCAGACTATCAGAAAAAAACTACCAGAAAGTGATAGCGACAGCGAAGAGGAGCAAGTTGTGCTTCAGAGTGAATACAAAAATATCAAGGAATACGCTAGTGCGAATTCAAATGCAGATGTCAAGAAAGAGCAAAATGTAACAATGGCGACAAGTTTTGATGAAGAAGACGAGGAAATGGATCTCTGCGCCGCCATCAAACGCAAATAAATATGCAAGACTATAGCTTTTGTTTACAATATCTAATAGACGAATTGAGCGTTTTGCTATATTCACTTGGTTTCGTGCCCGACGTTTCGAAGCGACACCATTGAACAAGGTCAAATGCTGGGGCTATCTAATTGGTGAGAGGAAGCCAAAGAATATACTTTTTGAAATGCAAAAACGCGTCAAAGTCTGCATAAGAGTGCGGCCCCTCACTTGCAATAGTGATACAAACAAGTCAATTGAATGTGTCAATCTTGATAATGCCGTTGTCATCGATGAAGAACAACAGGTGAATACAATATAACAATATACATCATCTTGATTGCAACAGGTAATGTGAAATGTTGTGCTGCAGACTATTGATGTTGTAACAGCTTCAGGCAGTGGAACAAGCTTTCGTTTTGATCAAATACTCTCACCGGAAGTAGATCAAGCTAGTGTTTTTCGGTCAGTAGGTCTCGACGTTGTGGACGGAGCCTTACGTGGCTACAATGGCTGTATTCTAGCTTATGGACAGACAGGAGCTGGTAAGACTTTTACAATATCTGGAGGAGGTTCACGTCGTCGCTATGAAAACCGAGGAATTATTGCACGTGCTTTATCTCAAGTATTTCAACGAGCTCAACAAGACGCAAATCATTCCTATGTGCTACGTATATCATATCTCGAGATTTATAATGATCGTCTCATCGATTTACTTGCTCCAGATGAATCTGATAATAATCGTACAATGAACGATCTTGCGATACAGGAGAATGCTCGTGGTCAAACCTTTGTCCGAGGTCTCACAAAAACTCTTGTATCGAGTGAAGAGCAGGCACTAGACCTCGTTTTCCAAGGCGAAACAAACCGTGCAGTGGCTGGACACGCACTCAATACTGCATCAACCCGCTCACATTGCATTTTCACACTGTATCTAGATCGAAAACGAAGTGCTTTGTCCTCCGACTTATTTGAACAAGATTGTGGTGGAGATGAAGCAATAACAAGTCATGAAGGCGAAGATGACGTTGTATACAGTAAATTGCATGTGGTAGACCTAGCAGGTTCAGAGCGAATGAAGAAAACGATGGCAGAAGTGGGATCTACACAGGCTAATGAAGCATGTTACATCAATAGATCGCTAACATTTCTCGAACAGGTTGTGCTTGCGTTGGGTAGTAAACAACGAGTGCATATACCATTTCGTCAAACGCCATTAACCAATTTGCTTAAAGATTCATTGGGCGGCAATTGCCGCACACTTCTGATAGCGTGTATTTGGCCAGCTTTAACACACGCTGCTCAAAGTCTAGCGACTCTACGATTCGCAGCAAGAATGCGTCGACTGAAAACTCGAGCAATTGTCAATGTGATGACTAGCAATTCTGGCTCATCAGGGTCTCGATTGGCAAACGAAGAAAGAATTGCGTATCAAAACGAAATTCGACGGTTGCGAGAAGAACTCGCGCTCTACAATTCCATAGCTGGAGGCAAAGAAGATGATCAAGAATCCAACAAATACATTCTAGAAAATGAGAGTTCAAGGCGTCAGCAAGTTACTGCATTCATAGCAGATTCGGAGAAGATTCCACCAGTGCAGAGTCTTCGCCAAGTACATCAATTAATGCAAACTTTTCGCTTACTTTTTATTGAGCAGAACCGCTCAGTCATACCAACATCAAGTCATAAAAAAACTGGAGGGACCGAACAAATACGAGCACTTGAATGTCACGCATCGTCTGAGCTTAAGTTGCCGTCACTACCCACTAGCAGTTCCAGCAGCCGCAGCTCTGTCCCTCCTGCAGCTATTTTACCTTCAATTTATCAGAACAACGAACAAGGAAATGTATTGCAGCAACAAGAGAATCGCGTGACATCCGACAAAGAGCTTTTTAAAATGTTTAAAAGCATAGAAGGCAAAAATCCAGATACAGAAGCAGTGCGTGATTTAGAGTTGGCTAAGGTGAATCTTCGCATGGCCAAGACACAATATACTGAGCTGGTTGCTGCAGTCAACTGTATCAAATTGTATGTAACTGTCTTCATCTCTGTCATGTGGATTGATGCTAAAAACGTCCGTTGCTTTTAGGGAAATTGATGAGTTTGCAGTGCGACTACAGGAACTGTGCGATCATGTCACAGCTGACCAACAGCATGAGGAAAATTATGCTGATCTTCGCAGTGCGTCTCTTTTAAAGCTACAGGATGCAAAGAAACGATATCGTGCTGCATTCGAACAGCTTGAAGAGAAGAAAGCGGAAGTGGGATACTTGAGCAAAATTAAAGCGCAAATGTTGCAATTAGTGGCAGCACGTTTTCAAGCCTGGAAATTGCAGCAAGAAAATATCCTAGAAAGAAATTAATTAACAGAATTTGTCATTATACTCCGTTTGTCTGGTTTCTTCACAGGTGTTGCTCAACCCTCTGACTTCTTGACTTCTCTTAACGAGATTTGCAAAACACTTGATGCTCGAATGTCTGCATCTCCAAACTATTCTTCAGTTAAAAAGCTAAGGTGAGCTATGATAGAGTTTTTTTGGAGTCTCAGAAAGAATATTGAAAACACTATGACTTGCTCAAATTGAGGAGGTTTTACAAGGGATAAACAAAACCAAAATGATACCTGATTTAAAACCCAATTTAAGGCATCTAGCAGTCACGCACCTCGTATTTTTTCCATAAGATCGAGTACTTCGTCATGATACAGTAAGCACCCTAGTGCACCGTTGGGACCACAAACAATACTCTTTGGAAAGCCCATCCTTGTCTCAGACCATGGTCTTGGACCTAATTTCCAGGATTTCCGTAGTGTAAGATTTAAGAGCAACCATTACACCGGGAGTTCCTTCACTACACACTTGTAGCGTCAGATCAACGAGCATCCATCGCGCCAAGATTTTCTCGTTAACTGTCGATTTATGCACATAGATTGAGAAGCTGCCAAGCTAAACAAGGCCTAAATTTGTCAGACGTTATGTCAATTTTATATTTTTATTAAGTGTTGCTATGCCAGACACTTGTCGCAAAATTCTAAGTGTATATGACCAAATATGATTTTTCAATTCTATATCCGTCTTCTCTAATGGTTACGCGCCTTTGTCGACAACAATGTTTACGGTCACCGGCATGTGAGCAGTGTACACTGTGCTCATTCTCTAAGGCGGATATCGGTTAGTATTTCGGCCACAGCGCTCAGTGTTACTACAAACGAAGTTGACCTAGCTCAAAACTGTAAGCTTTCCTGTCAGCAGGGAGATAAGCCATAGCGACCTTCAACACGGAGTAATCACATCGCAACTATGGGATGCAAGCAAATTCCACTGAAACAGACGCCAGACTAAAACGTTGCGTGATGCATATATTACAATTACGAAGCGCGGTCGATGTCGATGCGGGCAGACTGCACTCATTCTCATTCTCATGAGCCTGCTATCACTGCCGGTGAAGCATGAATTTGGAGCAAGTCGGGCCTCAATTGCTAAAGTGCATTGCGCTACACCGTCTTGCTGCTGATCGGAGGGGAGGGCATGGCAGATAGTGCACCGCGTTGTAAGCTTCAACAACGTTGTCGAAGTGGAAATTCAACTTCCATGACTATTTTGCAATTTATCTACTCCTTCCGCTTCTATAACACGCTGAGCTGAGACCTGATTCACGTGGAAGTGGTATTCAGTGCTCAAAGAGAATCTCGTGTTGCTGGCCCTTACAAGCTGGGTCATCGCGTTGACTCCCTTCAAGAATCTCGATGTACATCTGATGAAAACAGTGTCGAGCTGCGCGAGTGTTATGAACGACTTGAGCGACCCAGTGTAGCCTCAACCCGGATTTCTACTTTAGATTAAAAAGGATCTCCGCCTAAGTGTTCGTTGCAATTTTGCGTTCTTTTAACCAGTAGCTTCAATAATCCCAAAGAATATACAAGACTTGAGAAGATTCCCTTAAATATGACTCAGTTCAGACAGAGGATTAACTGCGGTTGATCACGTCAATCGTTTAAAACCAAACGTATGATGTTCGACTGCCTTCGGAATCTGAATGTTTCTTAAATGTGTCTTTACCGTTAATCATGATGTAACGTACTTGACGCTCAGTCCCTGAGATAACCCTTGATCCTGTCATAAGGTATAGCCAGGTTAATAGCGGCGAGTCAATCAGTATCGCCACACCACCAAGTCTGGAAACATTTTGAGAATCAAGAAGTCATAGAAGTTGACCAAACAACATATGAAAAGTGATGTTGAAGTTGGAGAGGCATAAAGGAAGATAGTCAACACGATCTCAATGAGTTGGAGAATATCTCACGAGGGACGCGGTGCTTGCTTGGCCCTGAGAGCGTGCAACACCTTGCGACGCAAGGCCCCGAGGCAATCGGTGCGCGTTCAGAGGCGTTTCAAATTACGAAAACGCGCTGCTAGAGCACCTGCAGCAGAGGATGTCCAGCGTTTGCGTCTATGATGCCAGCCGCTCAGGGTGAGCGTTAAGGTCTTCGAGGGGAAGGATGAAGATAATCTCCTGCTCTGGCGAGATGGCCATCACATCTTCCATGCCCCAGACCGAGCAACAGCGCGTGGCGCTAGCCATATCAAAGCTCGGTGGTTGAGCGCGAGAATGGGCACTGACGTGCGACACTTCGGTCGAAGCTGCGTTTCCCTCCTGAACGCAGTTTTCACGAGTGTTCTGGCCGCCTAATCAGGCATATCGCGTGCGATCGCGTTTCCTTGCCGCACGACAGGGCAACAAGGAATCGGTGGACTTTGTCCAAGAGATGCGCACTCTCATTGCCGGATGGCAGCAGATCCCCTTCCGGAGGCGGTCACAGTGACCGTCTTTATGGAAGGTCTCCGCACTGGCGTGACCAGGATGGAAGTGTTCCGTGCGCACCCGGCTTCGAGACGACCGTAAAGGGCTTTTAGAAGCCATGGAAGATCCTCATTAATTTCCGGGGCGTCGTGCAATGATGCTCGACGCTCCACGATGGAAGGAAGTCAGCTGTACACTATGGCGAGTCATGAGCCCACCTCTGCTAGGAGACAAAGCGCTATCGGCGAGACAACTGGACCGAGATGGTCAACGTGCAGAACATTGGAATGTCCGACCAACGGTGTATCGGACAGGAGTCCCGAGCATGGCTCGCGGGATGATCGTGAAGTGGCACGTAACTCACTGAGTGCTTCTCAAGTTTTGGAGCACTTGCTGCATGTCATGCGTGACATGGTCGGCCAAGGGCCGAGGCATGAGGGCGAGGCTCCCGTGTTGCACGTGAAGTGGCACATAAACCACCGAGCACTGCTCTTGTTGCGAAGCAGTCGCTGAATGCCGTTGATGGCGTGGCCGGACAGAGTCCGAGGCATCTTGGGCGCGACCCTTCAGTTGCACGTGGAGTGGCACGTTATCCAAC